CACCGACGCTCGTCATCCCCGTCGCAGGAACAAAGCTGCCATCCGTACTGACCTTTAGCTCGCCCTCCTTCAAGAAGATCAAGAAATCCAATGCGTTTCAGACATCCCGTGTATCCCTACCTTTCGGCTACTAGCCAGTGCCCCACGCTTGTTGTCCGCATATGAAAATACCTCTCCAATCCGTTGAGTCATGGTTGTGTCGGTCCCTTGAAATAATTTTAAATTCCGCCACCGCCATAAACGCCAAAATGTGAGACCAAATAAGGAGTCCTAGTTGTCCATTGCCCTGTTGATACCCCAGATAAATTCGCCTGGAACCAACTATTGAGGTCCAAAGAGAAAAACACACTCCATTGAGAGCTAGGAATCAACCTCTTCCACGTTTTCGTCGTCTCATGACAATCCCGAAGTGCATGTAGCGTAGATTCAGAGTCCACCAAACAGAGCGTGCACGTTGAGCTTGGTGCCATGCGTCGGCGTAGAAGATTTTCATTGGTCAATAAACTGTCGCGGGCCGGAAGCCAGAGGAAGTGACGGGTCCGCCGTACAATTGAAAAATGATATAAATGGTTGATAACGACTCAAATTTATTTGGTAAGTAATAGAAGTTATCTTATAAACTCAGACAGAATTAGTCACCTAGCCACAGTTGTATATTAAGATGTGTTCAGGAGTCACATGGTAATACCATGATCTATTAGACTAAGTTATATAGGTTATAAATTTTTATGTATTCAAAAAAGTTGCCTAACTTGATTTTATCCATATTTCTTGAGCCACCATATTAAAAGTCGTTTTCCATTTCAGTCAATTTATCAGTTCATTTTATCAAATATTTATATAAATTTAACTTTTAAATCTTTTCAATTAAATCTACCCAACACATCCCAATAATCGACAATATAACAATTGAATACAAACAAATGTTTGTTTATCCTAAACAATAATATATTGCAATAATGTCACTATGATATATAGTATATGTGTGTAACAAAATTCGTTGATTACCATTCCTAAATTTGGTCAAACGGTCAAATTCAAAATCAAAATTAGGTCTCTGTAATTAGCTTTTTCTTTCTGGAAATGCTACGG